GGGCTGCTAGAACAAATTGCCACAAACTTGGTCAGGCCCGGGTCCCTTAGCCAAGGAGCCTGTGGTATGGACCGTACCATGTCACAGCACTCGAGTCAGCCCGTCTGTGCCGTACTTGCCATCTATAAATGGGAGTAATCCTGGCACCAGCCTCACAGGGATATCTAACGAGGGGATGAAGTGAGTTCTTACTGGTAAAAAGCTTGGGCCAAGGATTGGTGCACAGTCTGCACTCAATAAAATCTTAGGTGTTATTATTAATACCATCGTATTATTCAATTGAAACCACAGAAATAGATTCTCTCACGGTTCTGGAGGCAGGTGTCCACACTCAAGGTGTCAGTAGGGCCATGCTCCCTCCGAAGGTCCTAGGGAAGAATCCTTTGCCTCTTCCAGCCGCGCTGGTGGTTGTCAGCCATCCTTGGCATCACTTGGCTCCTGGCAGGATAACTCCAATCTCTGCCTCCGTTGTCACTTGGTCTTCATCCCTGTGGGTGTCTCTGTGTCTGAATTTCCCTCCTTGTATCAGGACACCAGTCACTGGATTTAGGGACTGTCCTAATCATGTTCCCCTGAGATCTTTCAGAAAAGTGAGGAGATCCCCCTGACTGTGGCCTGTGAGTTATCTGGGGTCATGGGAATGAAGCCAGGATGGCCTCAGGGCCTTCCAGGGATAAAGTGACAGGCCAGGCAGACCTGGAGAGAGTTCCCGTTCTGGGCTGGCATGCACCAACTTCATCTGCGTTGGGATCCCAGCTGGGCTCTTTGGCTCTGTGGCCTGGGAACCTCCCTCACCACTCAGAACCACGGAGCACTCGATTTAAAATGAGGAACCCAATCCCCACCTCTCAGATTAGCAATGGTCAGTGTGGGTTAGGTGAGATGGGGCTTTTGTGTCAAGAGGGGACTTCTTACAACCAATTGTTTCTTAAATCAATAATCATGTATGTACTTTCCACCGCGCACTGCAGGGTCCTGTCATAGCGGCTGACCCTGTGCATGACGAGGGTCTTTCTGTCGGGGGAAATAGTTATCCAGTGACTGATGGATGTTGGTACAGCATTCAAATACCAGGGGACACTGGTGACGTTGGTGTGGCAGTAGGCGGCCACGGAATCCATGTTCTCCACCAGGGAGGTGGCGTTGACTGAGATGCCCAGGTTGCTTCCCAACACTGGGAGAAACAGGAAGAGGGAGCAGATTAGGGGTGGGGTGTGCCTCCCTGAGCTCCTTTCCTCTCCACGGGGGTTTGGGGTATGCTGGAGAGAAGCCAAGAACTCAACCATGAGGTCTGGGGTCTCGGGAAGTGGTCAGGATGGAGCAGAGAGGGCAGAGGGGTAGGGAGTGGACCGTGAGGCTGCTGAGGCGTGGGCCCGTCCTGGGACATCACTCTGGTGTGAGCTCCAATAATCGTGAGCTCTTCACATAGACACGTGACCCGATGGCTATTTCTGAACCCCCAAACCAGGAACCCTCATCCGAGGATCCAGGTGGCATTTGAATGACACATGATAAATGATCCCAATATTGGAGTCCCATTCACTTTACGAATACTCCCTCCAACCTTGCAACAAACCACAGTGGTGGACATTTCCCCAATGCCACAGAGGAGGAAACTGAGGCTCACAGAGGGAAGACAAACGGCCTAGGGAGTCAGAAGCAAATACAGGACTTCTTGTCTTCCAAGTCTGTGCCCTCCTCCCCCAGCCCGTGGAGCCCCCAGGAGCTGTCTGCAGGAGACAGAACTCCAGGGTGGCGCCACGATCTTCACCCCCTGCATAATCCTCCCCTCTCAAGTGTGAGTGGGGCCCATGACTTGCTTCTGACCTAATATGACAGAGGCTCGTGAATGGCACTGTGATCATTACCTTCTGCTGTGTAAGACTCCGTCTTGCCAGACTAGAGAAGGACACTTAGCTGACCTTGAAGAAAGGAACAGGCATAATGTGAAGTACCCACGGACAGAGCCACACACGGGACATTGTGGTGGCTTCAGGATCCCAAGAGTTTCCAACCAACAATCAGGAAGCAGCTAGCTGGGGCCCTCAATCGTACAGCTAGAAGGACATTATTTGGGCCACCAATCTGAATGAGCCTGGAAATAGATTCTTTCCTACTTAATTAAGGCTCCAGATGAGAACATAGCTCAGGTCAGTGATTTCTGAGACCCAGAGCAGAGGATTCAGCTAAGCCACGCCCAGACTTCTGGCTCAGCTACGCCTGGACTTTCGACCCCCAGAAGCAGTGCAATATGGGTGCTGTTTTAAGCTGCTAAGCTGGCGGCTGTTACACAGAGGTAGAAAACAAATGCACTGTCTGAGAGAGACACTGAAATCTTTAGAGGTGGTGAGTGATCCGTCCCTGTGCGAGGAGCTGGACAGCCATGTGCCAAGGCTCCCATGTCATCTGGAGGTGGGCGGAGGACTTGGATGACACGGTCCCCAAGGCCTTCAGGTCCGGCTCTCCCTGGGGTGGGAAGCGGGGCAGCCTGCCAACGCACCGTGAATCTCGAGCCAGCCGGTTGCTGTTTGGGTGTCGTTGCCAGCGTCCACCCGAACGGTGTAGTTTCCTGTGTCATTTAGCATAGAGTTTCTGATCACCAAGTCACCTGTTCCGGTCACTCTCTCCCGGCCGCTATACATGGGCCCAGGCTCCCGGGGATTGGGAGGTTTGTAGCTGAGAATCATATTTCCTGTGCTGTCCTGTGTGCCCTGGTACCAGCTGTATTCCTGGACATTCTCGGGGGCGTTCTCTAGGCCCAGGATACTCACATATCCCTTGATCCTTTGGACTTGGGTGATGAAGATTTGGCCAGAGGCCTGGCGGGCCAGCAGACTGGCTGACGAAGACAAAGAGAAAAAAGACACTTGGAGAGATCTACACCATCCAGGCATTGATTCCCAGAAACACTGGTGAACAAGCAAGAGTTTCCAGTTCCTGGAGGACTCCCCAGCCTGTCCCTTCCTCCATCCCCTCATCCCCTCCCCTGGTCCATTTTGTCCTTATCCTCTCCCAGCCCACTCTGTCCCTGGCCACTCAGCCCCCAATCCATCCTTACGTGACAATCAAGTAGATCTTAACAAAGCCCAGGTGTGACCCTGCTCTCCTCTGCTCTAGTACCTTCCATGGCTCCCCAGTGCTCTTAGGGTAAAGTTCCAACTCTTAGGCTGGCTTGTGAGACACTCCCCACAAAAGCTGGTCTTTATGACCCATCTAGCTTCCTTTTGGACCAACCTACCCCATCCCATCTGCACCACGTACCCCCTCATCCATTCATTTATTCATTCTTGTGTTTCTTTATCAGGAGACGTGACTTCCATGCTCTGTGCCCTGTACATACAAGCTCTCTTGACGCACCACACTTCCTCCTTACTATAGGCTTTGCACATTCTGTTCCCCATTCGTGACATACTGTTCCCTGCTTACATCTGCATCCTCCTTGTTGACTCATTTCTACTCATCCTTCAGTTCTCATCTCTGTCGTCTCCTCCTCCCTAGCCTGGGTCAGGTGGCCTCTCTGGGCTCCCCTCCTCCCATCCTTGACCTCTGGGGTCATCAGAGTCTGGTGACAAATCCATATGTCACACTGGACTGTGAGCTCCAGGAGGGCAGGGCTGGGCAATCTCGGTCACCACTGAGTCCCCAGCTACCCTGAGCACAGGGGAGAAGACAGGGGCAGTGTCCAACAATGATTGTCTGGGTGATAAATACTCCCCTAAGCCTGTCTACCTATGTCTGTGATTTGGTATCAAATTTGCAGCAGTGGGTGGGAACACATCACCACCTAAGACAGAGGCCAGTGCCCACTGCTCTGTGGGCACCAAGTCCCAGATGTGCAGAAGAGGCAGAGACGACTCAAGGCCCCAGCTTCAGGCCTTGGGGTGTGGGCATGGGACATGCCCAAGACAGTACTTGTGGCTGCCACTGAAGCGTGATAGCTGTGCATGTCAGGGGGTACGGAGGGTCCTGGGGGAAGGTGAGGGGTTGGGAAGGGATTTGGCCTGAGAGGTTGGGGAGGGCATCTCAGCACAAGGGGACACCCAGGAGGTGACTGCAGGGAGGTGAGGGTGGGGGTGCAAGCTCATTGCTCCTGGGGGTGGATGGAAATGGTGTATCTGGGGGGTGTGTGTCCCTGTGTGTGTGTGTGCGTGTGTGTGCCCATGTTCACACAGCCGTGTGCAAGTGTATATGCCACAGTGAGTGTGATGCTACGTCTGTGGGTCTGTGCAGGTCTGTGTCTATGGTGAGCTGTGCCCAGGTGTCTGAGCCCATGAAAGTCCTGGTGAGGGCCCTGTCCTCCTCCCTTCCCTCTGCCACTGCCCCGGGAGTTTGGGCTGTGCCCCTAGGTGCGGTGGCCCTAGCCCCCTTCCCGCCCTTACTCCCAGCTGCCCTTCCCTCAGCCCCGGGAAGGTGGTCAGTGCTCTCTTACCCACCAGCATGAGGCCCCTCCACAGGCTGCACCTGGGGCTGGAAAGGTCCATGAGCTGCCTGGGGTCCTGCAGGAGGAGGCTCTTTCCAGAGACGTGGCCGCCCCCTCTGCGCTTCACAGACCTGCGTCTCAGGGCCCAGAGGCTTCTGGTCGTGTCTCCCCAGTCCTCAGGGCGGGCTTTCCTCCCGGGTCTCTGACCAGCAGGGGTGGGGCCTGGGGGAGGAGGGCTCTTGGGAGTCAGCCCTCATCTTCATGGCTTTATGTTGCCTTCATTTATTATTTATTTATCTTGTTTTTGTATTTATTTATATTATTAATATTTTTTCCTGGTTATTAAAAAACAACACAGGCTCACTATTGGGAAAACTGGGAAATACCAAAAAGCACAACAAAGATAAGACATAAAAGTTGTTGATGTATGTCATGTTCGGTGTTTGTCATTTTGTTTAGAGACAGGCTCTCACTCTGTCACCCAGGCTGGAGTGCAGTGACACAGTCATAACTCATTGCAGCTTCTAATTCCTGGCCTCAAGAGATCCTCCTGCCTCGGCCTCCCAAAATGCTGGGACTACAGGCATGAGCCACTGCGCCTGGCTGGCCCAGTGTTTAATTTACCTTGTCCTGTGTTACAAATGGCTTCTTTTCTCCTCAACAGTACTATTTTCCAATATCATTAAATATTCTCCGTGGCCATTCTGAATGGCTGCAAGGCATGTTGTTATACACCTGATCCAAGTGTGTATAACCTGTTCCCTGCTGTTGGGGCTTTAGGCTCATCCTAAAATTCACCAATGGGGTGATGCTGGGATTAGGAGCAAAGGGTGTGTGTGCTCCCTGCAGAGGGGAGTGAGGGAGGAGGAGTTGAGCCGTGCGCAGATGTAATTACGGTAGGCATGTTGAGACCTGAGAGAGAGAGAGAGAGACAAAGAGAGAAAGAGACCAAGATATAGAGACACAAAGAGAGATGTGGGCTGAGTGAGACACAGAAAGCCCATTCTGCTAAGTGAAGTATCCCAAGAATGGAAAAACAAGCACCACGTGTACTCACCACCAAATCGGTATTAACTGACCAGCACTTATTTTCACATATAGTAGTAACATTCGTTGGGTGTCAGGCAGATGGGAGAGGGGAGAAGGGGATGGGTATATTCACACCTAATGGGTGCGGTGCACACCATCTGGGGGATGGACGCGCTTGAAACTCTGACTCGGGTAGGACAAAGGCAATCTATGCAACCTAAACATTTGTACCCCCGTAATATACTAAAATTAAAAAAAGAAAGCAAACTGCAATAGAGAGAGCGAGACAGAGACAGAGAGAGAACTCAGAAATGTTCAATCAACAAGGTCTTTCAAACTGTACTTGGGAATGTGTTTGTCTTTCATTTTTATAAAAATATTTTTATATAAGATCATTTGTTATAATTTAATGGACACCGTTTCTTAAAATCACCTGTAATAATTTGATCACCCAGCGATATACTCAGCATTTTTTTCTATGTATCTTTTCAGTTTCGGCATGTTATATACAGTATAGTTATGCACATATGCATTTTTTTTTTACCAAAGTGGAATCATATCATTAAATTTCCTTCTGTATTAGGACTGTTCAAACTTTAAAGCCAAATATAGTCAGAGGAAGTTGAATCTACACCTGTGGGTGTCTACTGGTTTATAAAATATCTCTGACATCTTCTGTTGTATCCTGAAAACTCACATGAGCTCCTGGAAGGAAGGAGCTGTGTCCACAGAGCACTGCGGAGGGAGGGCTTTGCAGGGCAGGGTCAATCCTGAGAGTCCGCCTGGCGTCGGAGTGGAGACACCAGGGACACAGCTGGACACGAATGTCGGCAGCTCCGTAGGGGACTCCCGGGGGGAGTGTTAAGGGGCCGTAACATGGTACCAGATAAGGCAAATGAAAGGGGTGATGTGAGTAGGTGATTCCTCGTAAATCAGAAATAGCATTAGCGTAATTCGGCCACTGCACTTGTGCGTGTATGTGAAAGTCATTGATCAGATACTGGCAAACCCGTGTCCATCGCAGATTTAGTCACGATAGCCAAGAAGTGGAAGTGACCCAGGTATCCAGTGACAGAGGAATGGGTAAGCAAAAGCATGTCTATCTGTACATGAAATATTATTCTTCCTTTTCAGAAAGGAATTGCTGACACATGCCACCAAATGGAAGCACATGAGGACATGGTGCTAAGTGAAACACGCCAGTCACAGAAAGACCAGCACTGTGTGATTGCACTTATCTGAGGGATCTAAAGTAGTCAGTTTCCCAGAGACAGCAGTAGAGTGGTGGTTTCCAGGAAGTAGGGGATGTCAAGAGTTAGGGAACTGCAGTTAATGGGGGTAGAGTTTCGGTTTTGCAAGATAAAAACGCTCTGGAGATCTGTTGCACAACACTGTGAATATACTTAATACCACTGAACCGCATGTTTAAAAATAGTTAAGATGGAAATTTTATGTTGTGTTTTTTCCACAATTAAAATTTAAAAAAAACCAAATAATGTGTTTTATTCCTTTAACAGAGCAAAGGAGAAAACCATATGCAAAATCATCTGACAAACTTTAATACCAATTCGTGATTAAAATGCTCAGCAATCTGGAAATAGAAGGGCGCATCTGCAGTCCAAGGATGGGAACTGCAATATCGCACTTTGATCTGAGAGACTGAGAACTTTCTCCCCCAGGACCGGAAACAAGGCAAGAGGGCTGCTGTCGCCACTTCCAGTAAACGTGTTGTAGCTCCTTCCCGGTGCAATAGAAACCGGAAAAGACGTAAGAGCTGTTCAGATCTTGCAGGTGGAGGTAACCCTGTTTTTCTTCACAGACGATATGATTGAGTACAGACAACATCTCCAGTTATCCACAAAGAAGCTACTAAACCAATGGATGACTGATGGAGGCGGTAGCGTATTGGTTCACACTACAAAATTCTTTTGGATATCTATATGTCAGCCAAGGACAAGTAGAAATAAAATATTTTTAAAAACTACACTTCACAGCAATATTATAAACATGAAATAAATTTACCAAATGTATGTAAGCCCTTTATTTGATAAATACAAAACATTGCTGAGACAAATAAAAGGAGACCTAAATGATATATATGTCCAAAATACATACATGTTTATACACACACACACATATGCATGCCATGTTCATGGAGGGAAAGACAATATTCTTAAAATACCAGTATTCTCCAAATGGATCCATAAACTCAATGCAATTTCAAACAAATTTTCAGGAAGAGATTTTGTAGAAATTGGCAAGTTGATTCTAAAATGTATACGGAAAATCAAAGAACTAGAATGTCTTAGCGATTGTGAAAATTACCACTCAATCCATTTAAGGAGACCCCCTGAATTGCCTGTCCCATCTCCCAGGATCCCACCACTTCCTCCACAGCCCCCACCGACGCAGCAGGGACACATCCAGGGCCAGGAGCTGTTTCCCAACAGGGCCCGATGGCTCCCAGCCGGGGGTCACTCCCTGGTGGCTGTCCTCATTCCTTGTCCCTGGGCACAAACTCCCAGCAGAGGGGTCTGCGTGAGCAAAGCCCCAGAGCCAGGGCAGAGTGACAGGTTCTGGGACAGGGAGGGGAAGGAGGGCCAGGCACCCTGTCTCTAGACAGGGGCAGCTGTCTAGAGATCAGTCTCAGAGGTTGGGTACAGCAGTGACCAAGGGGACACTGGTCCCTTCTCTCACCTCCCACAGCCCCAGTGCTCAGAACAGCCCAGCCCCTCTGCTGAGCGCTCGCCCTGCTCTGGCCTTGCGCTGCGTGGTCTGCGCCATCCTACCTACTCCTCACCCCCTCCCTCCCTGGGGTCCTGGCCACAGTCCTCTCCCATTGCTCCCCCAGGACTCGAATTCAGCCTGGGGAGAGCAGCCCCAGCCTCTGCCTGCGCAGCCCCTGCCACAGGTTCCTCCCGGTGACCTGTCCAGCTCCCTGCAGGACAGCGAGGGCAGCAGGGGGGTCTGTCACGTTCGCCTCCTGCTCTCTTCCCCCCTGAGACAGATCCTGCCCCTCTGTGCCTGGAGGAACAATGACACAGTAAGTGAACGAAAGGTGGCCTCCCGCTGCTTACAAGAAACAGAAATAACACTTAAGGGCTCAGGAAGGTTAAAATGAAAGATGACAAATGATACACTCTGCAAGTGGTAAACAAAAGACAGGGTGGCACTTTCCTAATATCAGATGAATGAGTCTCAAGGCAAAGTGCTTTAGCACAGGCGAAGGAAGGGAACTTCATAAAGATCAAAGCTTTATTCATCAGAATGAGATAAAAATTCTAAATACGCGTGCATCTACTTATGGAGCTCTAAAACATACAGAACACCAATATTCGCAGGGTTATAGCTGCTGTCGTGAGAGGCTCCAGGTGCTGGGAGACCCAATGTTCCCCCAACTGGACAGTGACTGTGTGAGGACAGCACCCGGGTCTGCTGTGCTGACCTCGACGTGCAGAGAGGGGACGGCCACATGTGGTTGCTGACGGGGGAGGAGGCTGCTCCCCCCTCCTGGGCCACCGCCATGGCCATGTCCCTCAGCCCCACCCTGACCCCCACAAACATCCACAGCCCAAGACTCACGGGTCCAGCCAGATGGAACTCATTATCATCTTCCAGAAAATGTCCCCCGAGGGGAAGGGTGTTGACAGGGAGGCAGGAGATGTGGTCGGGCTCCACATGGGGTAGGAACTGGGGTGACTCTCGCCCTCTCTGGCTGCAAGGTCCCAGGAGTGGAGGTGGGTGGTGACGGTCGATCTCCAAGGGCTGCCCAGGCCCTGACAGTGTCAGGGTGTGAAGTTCCTCCTCTGAGGAGGGTCACGGCTCTGACCTCGCCCCCGTCTTCCTGTGGGGCCTCCTCCAGGTCCTGCAGCTCTCAGTTCCCGAGAGAAGAACGTCGAGGAACAGCCTTTCCCCGGCGGGCCCTGGGACCTGCGCCCGGACATGCTGCTGCTGCTGCTGGCCCTGCTCTGGGGGAGGGCGGGGGTGCAGGGACGGGGAGGGTCCTGGGAAGGTTACACGCTGCGAGTGCAGAGTGTGGTGACGGTGCAGGAGGGGCTGTGCGTCCACGTGCCCTGCTCCTTCTCCTACCCCTGGGACATCTGGACTGACTCTGACCCTGTTCATGGCTACTGGTTCCGGGAAGGGGCCAAATCACACCAGAAGTCTCTAGTGGCCACAAACGACCCAGCTGGGAAAGTGCAGGAGGAGACCCAGGGCCGATTCCACCTCCTCAGGGATCCCGGGAGGAACAACTGCTCCCTGAGCATCAGAGACGCCACGAGGAGGGACGAAGGGTCGTACTTTTTTCGGGTGGAGCGAGGAACAGTGAAATGGAACTATGTATACAACAAGCTCTTTGTACACGTGACAGGTAAGGCTCAGGCTCCGGGTGCCCACAGGGGGAGGAGGTGGGGGCCGCAGGGCAGGGCTGGGCTGGGACCTCGTCCTGGGAGGGGCTGGGGGTGAAGCCTGTCGGGCTCAGGGGAGGAGCTGGACCAGAGCCTGAGCTCCTCTCAGGGCCGCACCTCGGACCCTCCCCCCTGATCCTGCGTGTCCCTGTCTCCTCCCAGCCCTGAACCACACGCCCCACATCCTCCTCCCGGGGACCCTGGAGTGCGGCCGCCCCTGGAACCTGACCTGCTCTGTGCCCTGGGCCTGTGAGCAGGGGACGCCCCCCAGCATCTCCTGGGAGGGGGCCTCTGTGTCCCCCCAGAGCCCCACCGTGGGCCGCTCCTCGGTGCTCACCCTCATCCCTCAGCCCCAGGACCACGGCGCCAGCCTCACCTGCCAGGTGACCCTGCCTGGGGCCCGTGTGACCAGAAGGAGGACCGTCCACCTCAACGTGTCCTGTGAGAGCTGGGCTGGGAAGCCTGGGGTCCTGCTGGGGGTCCCCAGGGCAGGGGGATGGGGTCAGGGCTGCACACGGGGTGCTGGGTCCCGGGATCCAGGTGGGGAGGGTCAGGAGGATGCTGGCTCCACCCTCCTCCCTGATGTGGCTCCTGGGGACAGAGGCCAGCGTCCACCCAGCCCTCAGCAGTGACGTGGGGCTGCCATGTCTCTCTGCCTCAGACTCTCCTCAGAACTTGACCGTGACTGTCGTCCGAGGAGACGGCTCAGGTAGGACGGGCCCTCGCTGGGCTGTGGGAGCAGGGCCTGTTCAGCCAGGGCAGGCGGGTCCTCCTCACCCTGGACTCACCCCGGTCACCTGAGACCCC